AAATATTTTATAATAAAAATGGTTTTCATCACTTCAATAAGTCCCTTGTAAACTGGGTAGCAAACATGCTAAATTACATAAGATTATCAGATTTTGGCAGATGGGCATTGTGTGTGTCTACAGATGTTTTGAGGAGCAAATTGCTTAAGGTTTCCTCATTTGCAGAATAAGGATAAAAGCAGCTACCACACAGAGCACTGTGCATGCAGCCTGTGCGAAATAACCCACAAGGAGAACTTAGCATCCCTCACATGCTGTAAACATTTAACACATTAGCTATTACCAGTGATCAGGAAAAAATAACCACAAGGCGCATGAAAGGCACCAGTGGTTACATCTAGGCATGTCTTTGCTATTGTTGGTCTTATTACCTCTTTTCCTGTTTTTTCCTAATTAAAAAAAAAAGATTTCCTTTCAATTTTAAGGGCTATGGAAAGTCATTCAACAGACATCTCACTCTCTCTCTCTCAAAAAGGCAGGTACTATGCCAGGTGCTGGGGATACAAAGATGGACACAACAATCTCTGCTCTTGAGGAGCTCTCAAAAAAGTGTGGGAAAAAGTGAAAATTTATAATTACACAATACATACATACAGTGGAGTGAGAATGTCTCATGAGCCAGCCTCTGACAGCAGAAGAATCTTTGGAAATAAAGTTTTCGTTCTGAGATGAGGAGGAGGAAGCCAGAACCAGGCGCTACTTGGCATTACCTAAATACGTAATAATCCTTGCACAGCCAAGAATTAAACCATATTCAGCAAAAAGGCACGGATTCTCCCAGGTTATTGCTTTAATCCAGTGCTACTCCAAGCGTGGTCCACAGCCCAAACTGTTACTGTTCAGGAATCAGAAAAACACAGAAGTTTCTAAATTAGAAACTTTTGTACCAATTGGACGTCGCTACAACATCTAGACATGTGATCAGTAGATTCATCCCACTGAACAAAGTACAGAACAAAGTAAGGATTCTTAATGGACTGAAAATAATAAAATAAAACACAAACAGAAACAGAAGACAAAAACTAGAAAAAAAAGACCGGTTCTTCACAGATAGTTTGAGCAGCACTGTTTTAAAACTCCTTGGGAAAGTACATTTGTCTAATGCCAAAATAGAGTTTGGAATGAAATTCGATGGCAGCAGCTGGTTTACAACTTAGCACAGAAGCTCCAACTTCCAAAGTCTCTTAAGGCGTCTCTGCAAACAAAACATTAAAGAACTCCCAGGAGGTTGTCATCCTTGACAGTGTCTCAAGGACCACCTGGAGAAAGGGCCTCTGGATCTCCATAACTGAGTGTGGGAGTAGGGGGAGGTGGCATATCCAAAAGATCTAGAAAAGCACAGCCTCCTCAATCAATTCTACTCTGAGGCAGGAAACAGACAAGGCAGCCAATGACTGGGGGAGAAGAAGGATGGTGTGAAATGGCAGTGCTGAGGTAAGTCGGCAGTCCAAACACAACGGCCTCCCTTATGTAAGAAACCACAGCGGAGTACAGGCTGCCAGGGAGAAATAATGTGCCTCTGTGTGCGAAGCACTAAGTGAGCTGCAGGGCCCGGGAAGCACTTGGGAGTTTATCTAAGCCATGTACACAGGTCTGTTAATGAGCATTCAGTTCCCAAAGTGGGCTCAGTGCTGATAAAAACCAGATGCAGGGCCAGCTGATCAAAGTGGCCTCGCGCCCACTGCCTGCTGCCGCGGCCACTGCCTCACCGAATCTCCTGGGCCCCCCTGGCAAACCCCTCCTTTAAGAGACGTTTGCAAGATGGAAATGCCATACCCTTCTAGTTGCCTCTTTTGTATTAATTAACTTTTTAATTTAATTACAGTAAGCAGGAGGGTTTGGGAGAGAGAAAAAGGATGAGGGTGCTCTGTTTGGACTTAAGCAGCCCAGCTTCTGGCAGCTGTCAGTCCTTAAAGCCTATAGACATGTGTGTTTCTTTATGACCAGAGTCTCATCTGCTGCAACTTTCAGGAAGGCAATGCAGCAGCCAGGAAAGCAGGCCCTAGAGTCCCCAAGTCCCTGCTCAATTGCTAAGTAAAGGAGATGAAGGAATCGAGAAGGTGAAGTTGGAAAGAGACAGTCAGGTGGGCGCCTTGAACAAGCAATCTAGCATGGCTCAAAAATGCCTTAGGCAAAGAGGAAACATGGCCCGCAGTATCTCCCACTGCATGAGGGTCCCTAGTGGGCAGGGAAGAAGGCCCCCCCACCCTGTGGAAGACATACATTTGAACCCAAAGTCAGTCATCTAGGGGAGGGCGGCCTTAGGCTTTTGCTCCTTCCCTGTCACAGTTGCCCCTTTTTGTGGCATCAAAGAAGCAGAAAATATTTATTTACGTGGAGAGAAAAAAAGAAGGCATTTAAATTTATTCATTTATTCAACAAATAGATCTTGGGGGCCTACTTGGTGCCGGCTCCCAGCCATCTTGGCTTTTTTATAGCCAAGGGGGCAGAGAGATGCGAAATAAACAATTACACGTGTGAGAAGTTAGAGTCCGTGGGCGGCTTGACCTTGTCTATCAGAGATCAAGAAAGAATTCTCGGAGGAAATAAAGATTAATGGAAAAATTGGCAAGGAAGGAAAAAATGAGGAGGAAGGTTTCAGAAGGAGCACCCAGAAGGCGGGTGGATCTAAGACCAGGAAAAGGGTGGTGCGTTTGTCAAACTGACCGGGGCTCGTTATGGCTACAGCCCAGCAAAGGCAGGCAGAATCCTCCGAGGAAGGCTTCGGCGGTAGGTGGAGTCATATCACGCAGGGCTCGATAGGCCGTAGGACGGATTTGGGAATTCATCCCAAGGGCGGCAGGCAGCCACTGCAGCATTCTAAGTGGTGGGAACGCCATGCCCAGAGTTTAATTTTAAAAGGTTAAAATTTGGTGCCCTGACTCCTGAAGCTAAGAAACCAAGAATGAAGGAATAACCCATCTTGTCTGCATCCCCTAAACTTGGGAATCAGCCGCGGTGGGGACGGCAGGCATGTGAGGTGGGGGTCCCCCTTGCACCGTCCTGGGCCGCCTCACAGAGCCTCGAGCTGAAGGCCGGCCGGCCTCACTGCCATGCCCCGGGCAGTGCTGGCGGCCACCTCCAACCTCGGCGCCCCCAGACAACCCGCAAAGTACCGGTGCTCTCCACATTGGGGGGTGGGCACCGTGGGGAGGGCCACAGGTACACACGAAGGCCTCGGTACCCCTCTCGGGGCCTTCACATGGGCTAGGCGGACAGCAGCCCCCTAGCCAGACCCGCACACACACCTCGCCACGTTCTAAATGCTCCTCTTTACAGATACTGTCCAAACTCCACCTCGGCAAAGCGTCTGAACCCCTGGCGGGGCGGGGGTGGCGAATCAGCGTCCCAGGACCACGCTGCCTGCCAGACTCAGAATAAAGAGCGTTTTCAAGGCCTGGAGTTTTCCAGCTGCCTGGAAACAGGAAGAGCCCAGTCCCGGAGAACAGAAACCCTCACACGCCCTACATAAAGGCACGTTGAGCCATTAGCCCTAATTGCCTGTGACTGACACAGGAGTGAAGCCGGCCTTCCAGGCATTTGCTCAGCGGAAAGAAAACAAACAGCTCACAGGGGACCCAGGCGGCCATTTTCTCTCCTTTCTGCCAGAATGATTCTGCTCTGTTCTCCCCCCAAATTATAGCATACAAAATTGAAATTATATACCAAACAAAAGTCTTTCAAGTGTTCCTTACCACATATGAGAGAGAAAAGAAATCTTGGTAGGGAGGAGTTGAACATAAGACAATTGGTTATCAATCTTTTCACAAGAGCAAAAACTTCACAGAAAACTCAGAGCCACACCACGGTGACCCCCATTTTCTCTAGGTTTGAGGCATTAAAAACTATTTGCAACAGTTTTCATATGTTCAGCATACTTTATTAAGAAATATGTTAGGTAGTGTGCCAAATGTTAAGAATATAATATGTATGTGGTAAAAATGGCACATGCCTTCTGATTTAGGATTTTAACAAGTGAGTTTCCCCAAGTGGCTTAAAAATAAAACAGCATGTTATACATCAAGCAAGAGACCATCCATCCTTCCCTTTTCCTCTGTGAATTCCAAGCGCTCAGAGGACCCCCCACATGCTGCTGCTGACCCCACCACTACCGCCAGGCCACGGTGACTGTGGCAATATGGACATTGGTTCTCTCGGTGCTGAACTAATGACCAGGAGGGACATCGGGACAACAGGACTGGCCCTGACTGTGACTGGTGGTCACTGAGCTACAACTTCATCCCCCAAGTCAGAACCACTCCCTTCCTTTGTGGTTCCTTCTCAACCATTTCAAAAATATCACTCCCTGGGTATAATACCATCTTATTTGATGCCATCTCATTTGGGCCCCTTAAGTTCCTGGGAATATATGCATGATTATTACCTCGACCTTACCAAGAAGGTAAGCCACCTGGACAAGGACACACAGGGTTGAGTGGGGAATCAAACTCAGATCTATTTGATTGCCAGGTCCATGTTCTTAATTTTTACTCACTCACTACACAGCCAAACTTGAACTTCCCTTTGGCTTACTGAGGCCATCTTATCATCCAGGTCTGCACTATCAGATCCAATTTGAACCAAGGATGGCAAGAAAACTAGTAGCCCATGTTAACATCAGCCCCAGCTATGGAAACAATACACAGTAACATTCAGAGCCTAAAGTCCTCCATTGGCCATTAAGATAAAATCCAAGGAAGAAAAGTTGTTTCTAAGTAGGATCTATGTGAACACCCTTCAATGACTTAGGAAAGGAAAAATGAGCTCCTTGTTCCATAAGCCCCACTCTTGGAGTTAAGCTGTACATTTCAAGTCATGGTACACGGTGGCACTGATTCTGTCAGTTTAGGCGCTTTTCAGATTTATGAGGGCAATCCCAAGCAGGCCAGCGTCCCCAGAGACAACTACCCTCAAGGTAATAAAGAACCACCTTGCTCCTGCCCTGGTGAAGGGCCCATCCTCGGTGAGGGATGTGCAGTCACGGACAGAAGGCTACTCACCCGGCAGGCAGGGCATCGGGTGCCTGGGCAGCAGCCGGGAGCAGCTGTGTGCCCGAGGTGCTGGGTTCCTCCCCTTCAGCCGGCGTGGCCGGGGCAGGGAGAGATGCGGTGGTGGGGTTCGGGGACACACTCGTCACTGCAGCAGGTGGGGATGTCACACCAGGGACCGAGGGCTCTTCAGGATCAGTGGCTGTGGTAGGTTCGTCGTTCACTGAAAATACAGAAATAGTATTTTAGAGATCAACTCGGACTTTTGTTTACATTTACTAGGTTTTCCACTTCATGTGGTACCACAGTACTTACAAAGTCACCAGGCACAATTCCTGTGACAGCAAAAAGTGTTACAGAACATAACTTTGGAAATTACAGTGAGTCTGCAATGGCCTGCCCAAAGAAAATCAAGAGATGGATCTGTAAGAAATATATTAAATATCAGCCCTTTTACATACCTTTATTACATTTCTCTAACATGCTAGGGCTACATGAATTATAATAAAAGGACAGCAGGAAAGATGAAGATAACAGCAAAGTACACTGGTGCCAAATGAAGCAAGGCCCATGCAAGCTCATAGGATCACATAATTTTCTTTGAACATGTCATTTGTCTTCCAGACTTCAAAAAGCTCCACATACTCTAAGAGATGGTAAACTTTCAGTAACATACTTATTCTTTTAAAGACCCATGTACAAAGTAAGGAGCCAAGAATGCTCTAGATGAAAAAGATGGGCTCCGAAGGTAACAGACTTGTCTCCAAGGTAACAACAGACAAAAAGACACAAGTGAGTCTCTGGTTCCGGAGTCTCCTTATTTCTCCATTTCTTCATTTCTTTGGTGATCACTCATGTTCACAAGGACCCTAAGGCACCACAATATCCTCTTACTCAAGAAGGGATTAAACAAGGTTACAAAGAATTCTTTGAAAATGAATAGGCCATATGCAGAGAGGAGTCTACGTACATGATTACATATGTGTACACTTACACTACAATTTTGTACGAAAACCGCTTAGACGTCATTTAGCCTAATCTTCCTAACTCAGAAATTCTTTTTGCAGCTTCCCTAACAAGTGGCTATCCAGATTCCTCTTGAACATTTTTTCTGACAAGGAGCTTACTACAGAGCCATTCCATTGTTAAACACACGGAGCTGCCAGAAAGCTTTTTCTCATGTTAAGCTGATTTCACCCGCTGGTCTTTGTCCCCAGCCCCCATGCAATACAAACTAAGTGCCTAGACTCCCTGCTCCTAATTCACCTTCTCTTTCTAGTAACAAGGCCCACTATTTCTTTAATGTTTCTAGGCCACCCTCTTCTTACCACCTGACTGCTCTCTGGTAGATATTTTCTACTGCCTCTCCTAAATGACAGCAGAAATTAAATCAGATAACATCAGATTTAGATGGTATCTAAATCTAACAGCAGAGTTAGAATTCCAGTATAAATGGTATTAAGTAAATTTACAGAACCCCAGCGTGTGCCACACAAAGTGTAAATCATTTTGGATCATCTCATTTAAGCCTTACACACACAACCCGACAAGTCAGGTTTAGCAAACTGAGGCTGAAACATGTTAAATAACCTGCCCAAGGCACAGGGCAGGCACCTGATGCATGCCCCTGCTGTCTGCTTCCAGAGCCTGAATCACTCACCCACCACACACTACCTCTCCCTCTCTGCACGACCTCCAAAGAGACCCCATTATAATTCTGGAAGCAACAACATGACCCTTCTGGCTAACATGGAGATGGGTGGTCAGCTGAAACTAAAATTTCTCCACGTAAAGTAATACCAGTTGATCTTAACAAGTGGAAAAGAGCCATTTCTTTGGGACCACCTGCGATTAACTCATTTGCTTTCTCTCCAGTATATGAAATACTGCCTGGCATGTAGACTAAATTAGTGGCTTAATAAATGACTACATCGTGTGCAACTAATGTCTCCCCAACATAAATGCAAGACTTTATATTTATGTTTCTATTCTATTTCAGCTGAGATAGTAAAACACAACAGATGGTGATTCTCTTAATGCAAACCTATAAGTTTTACTCAATTCCAATAAAAAACCATTATGACATTTTTAAGAATGAATTCATTCAAAATTTATAAGGGAAACTAAATACAGAAGAAGAGTATATTTAGCTCTAAAGAAGAGCATTGTGTGTATGCAGAAGGGGGGTTAGTTCTCTAAACTATTAGTACACATTATAAACCTACAATTAAAATAAGTGGCACTGAAACATGGATAGGCAGATGCTGATTAAAAGTAGGAAGCTCAGAAATTGAATTAAATACACATTACAATTTAGTTTGTGACAAAGGTGGCATTGTTTTTATTGAAGTGTAGTTGATATACAATATTATATTGGTTTCAAGCATACAACATAGTGATTCAACAGTTATACACATTATTAAATCCTCATCCCAACTAGTATAGTTTCTGTTACCATAGAAAGATGTTACAGAACTACTGACTATATTTCTCTATGTGTACTTTCATCCCGGTGACTAATTTATATTATGATTGAGATTTGTGCCTCTTTATCCCCTTCACCTATTTCACTCTCCCACCCCCAACCCCTTCCCCAAGGTAACCACCAGTCACCTCTCAGTGTCTATGAGTTTACTGCTATTTGTTTGTTTTGTTTTGTTTTTAGATTCCACATGTAAGTGAAGTCATGTTAGTTGTATTTCTCCGCCTGGCTTATTTCACTGTGCATGACACCCTCTAAGTCCATCCATGATGTTGCAAATGGCAAGACTTCTTTCCTTCTATGGCTGAATAATATTCCATTGTGTATATGTACAAAGGTGGCATTTTAAATGGCTGCAGAAAAGACAGATTATTCAACAAACAGCTGTGACAGCTTGGAAAAAGTATAATGGAAAAAAAAGAATTAGATCCCTGCCTCACTCCTAACATCAAAATAAATTCCAGATGAATCAGAAATTTTGACATAAAAAAATGAAACTACAGAGGACCTAAAGAAATTAAGGAAGAATATTTTTATAATCTCAAAGTGGAAAAGACTTTTTGAAGTATCACACATAAGAGAAAACATAATAGATGGATGAATTCAACTACATTAAAAATTCTTTTAATTTAAATGGCAAAAATACCATAAGCAAAATCAAAACTGGAAGAAAAAAATAACAAACTGGGAAAAATTACTAACAACTCACATTACAGACCAATGGCTAATTTCTTTGCTATGAAAAGAACCTCTACAAACCAGTAAGGAAAAGACCAAACTTCACAGTAAAGGAAATACAAATTACCCCTAAATATATTAAAAGATGCTCCATCTCAATTATGAGACAAGAAATGCAATTTAAGACTACAATGAAATACCATTTTTTAACCTATCAAATTGGCCAGAATGAAAATATTTAATCACATACTGCCAAGAAAGTAAAAAAAACATTGTCATATATTGCTGGTAGGATTAGAAATTGGTAGACCTTCCATGGAGAACAACTGGGCAATATTAAAAATTTTAATGCAAAAATTGGAGGGAAGTAGGGGTAGGTACAGAGAAGAGAGGTCAATGGGCCTGTAAAAGAAATTTAAATGTCCATGAGTCAATAATATCTGAAGCTGGGTGACAGGTTCATCGTAACATTCTTTTTACTTTTGTATATAATCAATGTTTGTGGGTGACATGGAGTTGTATACGGCACATAATATCTGGTGGTCTCCCTCTCGTGACGTTAGCATTGATGATTACTGCTTAAATCCATTGATTGGCTAGGGGTTACAACATAGTAATATTCTAATTCTAGCATGCCTCTAAAGAGAAACTTATTCTTATCAACTATTTGGCTATGTTGAGGTTCAATTTAAAAAAAAAAAAGGGCAGGAGAAATGCTGAGTCTTTCCTTTTATTTAGCAGTTTTCAAAATAATGAGTTGATTTCCTCACATCCTCCAAAACTTAACAATGAAATTTTGTCTTGTTTAAAAATCATTATGAGCTCTTGGGTTAAACATATTTAAAATACTTCAATCTATTGTGATTATCATTCTTTTGGATACTAAAATTGTCCCCATTTCTGGCCAGGGTTTGAAGGGGAAGAAAGGGATGAAGCTCTTCAAGCTTCCTTCAAGTTCTATGGAAAAATTTCTAAGATGATGAGTAAGAAAGTGGATAACAGCATATACACACGTATATACTGTCCTACCGTGTGTGTGGGTGTGTGCTTTCAAAGAATATATATGCATATGCTTGCATATTCAAAGAATATCTTTGAAAGAATCATACGAAACACAACAGTGACTACCTCTGGGGAAGAACCTGGAGGCAGGAGGACTGGAAAAGGAGATTTTCTTTAAACTGCTTAAGCTTTATACTTTTAAAGTTTTCATGATGTACATGTACTACCTATTAATTAATAATCATGATGGACTTCTTGGCCAGGAAAAGAACAAAAGCAGAACCCCACTGCATGCGAAAAGAAAAGAACCCCCAGTCAACATTATTTGGATCTGCCTGTTTGTGCAGATGTAAATCTAATCAGAAGGGTTCACACCAGGACTATACTTATCCACAGACCTATCCAAGAAAAGCCTATGGTTTACCAATGCAGCTCACCTATTTAAGACTTTTATGCTATACCTTCATTTGGAAACAGAACATGACAGCCAGATACCCTCACGTTTACAAACTCTCTGTGTCCATGCTTATACTCTTCTGCTCTCAAAGAGTGTACAGGCATACCTCATTTTATTGTGTTTTTTACAAATCAAAGGTTTGTGTCAACCCTGAGATAAGCAAATGTATTGGCTCATTTTTTCAAGAGCATTTGCTCCTATCATATCTCATTTTTATAACTCTCTCAATATTTCAAACCTTTGTTACAGCAATCTGTGATCAGTGATCTTTGAACCACACCAGCATAAGATGGTAAACTTAGTAAATGGTGTATATGTTCTGACTGCTCCACAACTAGGTGTTCTCCAATCTCCTTCCCTCTCCTCAGGCCTCCCTCTTTCCAGAGACACAACAACATTGAAATTACACCAATTAATAACCCTACAGTGGCCACTAAGTGTTTGAGTGAACGGAACAGTCACATGTCTCTCACTTTAAATCAAAAGCTAAAAATGATTCAGCTTAGTGAGAAAGACATGTCAAAGCGAAGTAGCCCAAAAGCTAGGCCTCTTGTGCCAAACAATTAGCCACACTGTAAATACAAAGGAAAAGTTCTTGAAGGAA